TGGGGGGCCCCAGTGCAGACAGGGCAGGCTGCAGGTTGGGAAAAGGCAGGGGCGGGGCACTGATGGATCAGGGCTGCTCAGTGCCATAAAGCAGGGTGGGGAGGAGAGAAGAGAAGAGCAAAACTGGAAAGAAGCTCTGATTTTCCATGATAAAAAAAGTCAATATTAAGTGCCAAAATATATAGGTATTTAGAATGTATTTCGTTTGTAATGATTAAGACACTGTTAGGCTTCCAAACTGCTTTAAAAATTGTAAATTCATCAATAAAACATGGTATTCAACTGATACCTACATAAGTGGCATTCATTTTAATCACTGAAAAATGTGGATTTGATTTCTTCCTAACAAAGCAGGTCTCCAGTGGGCTCTAAATACCTTTCCAGAAAAAGAGCTTTTCTTACCCTTGTCTAGAGAGGAGTTATTTGAGTGGTTTCACTATGACTGCTGCTCAAGTGAAGTGGACAGAAAAGGTTAGTATATCCTAGTAGCAAGTATTGTTCCTGCTTCCCCCATTCTTCATCCTATATGTACTGGCAGATGCATTATTTGTAGGTGACCCCTAGTGCTGGTCACTGTTTCCTAGTCCCTAAAGACCTCACACAGAACCGTGCTAACCCAGCCATGGTTCGCTGAGTCTCTCAGCTGCATCAATTGTCAATCCGTGTGGCACTCCTGGGATATATAAATCCTTACAACAGAAGCTGAAGTTGGAAGCAGAGTTAGGGGTTTGAGGAAGTGCTGCAGGTAAGTGATAAAGTTCTGGCTGGACTCCAACCCATCTGCTTCACCTTATGACAAACACAGTAATAATCTGCTGGGCCCCAACACAAGGTATGATGCATTTTAGGACTGAGAATTCTAGCCTTCCTTGTAGAAAGGATAAGAAATTCCTGTCGTTTCCAAACTCTTTCATATTCAAGACAGCTTTCCCATCCTCCCCTTTGTCCCCCAAGGTCTGCAGCAGAAGAATTTTCATGAAGAACTTGTGTGAACTCACAGCAGCGTGTAGCTATGTTCAGAAAATGGCTGTTCTGTTGCACTGAGGAGTTCTGTTGCAATAGATTGTTCTTCTGATAAATGCAGATGTTTACACTTAATACAGTAACTTTAAACAGAATGAAGTAGGTTGCTTCAGCAGTTTGTCTCCCACTGAAATGGAAAGAAAATTGGGCAGGGTGCACAGAACTACAGTATAGAAGGCACCTTGGGGGTAGGATATATGCTTCCCCCCCCCCCGGGAAACAAACTGGCACTTAAAGTTAATTTGGCCAGACTTCACTTGGCCAGGAAGTGTATCCTAGCTGCTTTGGCAAAAGGTATTCAAGCAGGCCACTAACTGCTATTTTAATTCAATTAAAAAGATACCAATTTAGTTCTTTAAGGAGCTCTCTTAAGCTAACTGGGGGACAACCAAGGTAATAATGAGGTCTAGAATATATGCTAAAATCCTCTGGTCGGAGCGGTCCTCCTACTGGATATGGGCAGCTTTGAAGTCAGATGAATTTTTGCCTGTATCTGCAGTAGAATTAGCCCTTACCTTTTGAAAAGGTCTGAAATCTTCATGAACTCTGGAAGTCTTAATGAAGAGAACTGGTAGGGCAGTTGTGTGTGGTTTTGTTTGTTTTGGGGGGGGGGAGGGGGGAAAGAGATAGAAAAGGAGAGGTTGTTTGTTTTTTAAAAAAGAAAAAGGTGCTGGGGAAGGATCTCTCTCTTTCCCAACTATTTTAACTTTGTAGGATAAAGCTCTTCACTTAAGGGCTCAGAAATAAGCCTGTATTTGGTGTCCTGAAATTTTTTTTAGAATGATGCATCACAGCAGAAAAACAGAAGTGGGTTGCATTTCTTTGCTGGTCACCGCCAAGGTTTTATAACAACTCTAGTAGGGCTCTGGCAACATGCAAGACAGCTCAAATCCACTGGGAGCTGTTAATGTTACTATTTAGGTAGCTCAAAAAAGAGGGTGGAGGGAGGTCAAAGCTTTCAAGCTACTGCATAGTTTTGGAACTGACCCAGAAGACTAAAGATAAGGTCATGAAATTCTCTCCCTTCCTCCCCATGAGGTTATCACTTAAACCATCAACTTCTCCGAATTGCACATAGATGGCATGCAGACTTGTAGAGCTTACTGGTTGCTGTAGGCCTCCAAGTACAGGGAAGCAGGACCTTGTACCCAGGTTGTTAAGAATTGGAACCTGGACTGTTTTAAACATTTATTTCTTGAACATAAAGCAGCAAGAGAACAAGGGAACCTTGTGCCATAGAAGTCTGCATAGACTCATTAAGCACATGGAAAGTCTATTCTCTTTTCGAAACAAATTAATGTTAGACTGAATCTCGTATTCAGAGCACACTGCTGGCATTATGCCACCAGTTCCGTGACTTTCAAGTTGGGGGTCACACGCTATTCTGAATTAATTGTTCTAAACTTTACAAACACCAGGCTACAGCCAAATCTGTTTGCCACTACATTTTTTTTTTTTTTAGTCTCAAGTATGATCTGATATTCATGGTACATAATCAGTACTGCTCTAGTAGTGTACAGCACTGAACAGGAATCCACAGGAAACAACCCCTTCTGCTGCTTGGATATTATTTTGTTTTGTTTTTTTGTAGCATGCCTTTATGCAAAATTGCTTTAAGTTATCCTGTAAACTGCCAGAATATAAAGCTAGGATTCTGATCACTATAAAAGGGAATGTTTAACAGGTCACTTATGGAAGGGGCAAGGGAACCCCCCTGTTTCCCCTCCTCCTCTCCCCCCCCCCCCTTTGCCATTGATTTGCCATCTCAACTGCTTTGATCAGGTATTACCATATTTAATCAAAGAAGAAGACCGCCAATAATTTATTTATATAGGCAAATTACTATGGGTATTCATGGACTTCACCAATACAGAATTAATGCAGTTTACTACTAAGATTTTTTTCTTAAAACTACTCCAAGTTTTAGCACAGGTGCTACCTAAAACACACTTAAGAAGCAGTTTTGCACCTACTTATTATGATTATTTTTATCAAGGCCAAATCAGTTCCAAATTCAACTGGACAAAGTCAAGTATCCTCCCTCCCAGATTGAATCTGGAGCTTTGGCTACGCCCCAAATAAAGGCAGGTATCCTACATGCAAGCCCAAGGCCCACAGAACTTGGGGTTCAGATGCTCCCTGTTTCACTTGATCTTAGCCAAAAGACCCAGAGTATACTACAAACTGTATGTGGTCCAAAGCCAAAAGGCTCATAATTTAGCATATCGTTTACTGGGCTGGGCTCCAGCAAGGTCTACAGCATTTCAGGCCATGGTGATGCTCAGATTATGCCAACCCCTCCCCACACTTACTTAAAGCAGAGGATTCATGCGCTAATTAGCCCACCACTCATGACTGGAACCAGGTGTTCTTCTCACCTGGGATTCTCCAAAAATTAATATGCAGATGAGGAATAAGGCTACCTGGTCTTGTTCCACCTCAGAGGGCAGGGACACACTAAGCATATACAATAAGCCAAGACAGAAGGTGACAGGGATTCTGGGTAAGCTGTTTGAAGCCCCTGTTTGGTGAGGTTTGCCAGACATTAAAGGATGATTAAAAAGCAGGACTCACTGGAAATGGGACAAAGCTCAGCTGTGGGAGTGAAGAGGAAGTCAAAATGGATTCAACGTTGTGACTCACTATGACTTGAGAGAATTAGCACTGAGTGGGAATTCATGCAATAGCATAAATCTTATTTCAGAGGAGCTATACTAACTTATCCTTGTGGTAGCCAGCATCTGTGATCAAGCATTTTTGGTACCAAGGGGAAGGGGCCAGAGCCAGCCTTGACACTTCAGGTGCTGGGCTGGTATTACAGTACCTCCAGACCCCATACCAGTTCCCTGTGCAAAAGACTTTTGAGGGACATTTGAAGATACTGTCTCTGTGTCACTACAGTGCATAGTACAATCGGACCCTGATCCCAACTGAGGCATTTTCAAGGATTCTGGGTTATGCCACAGAATCCATTTAGCAGTGAGGTAGAGAGAAGTAATTTACTCCTGTACTGCACTTGGTACTGTAAACCATATTTGTAAGGGGAGGGTTAAGACAAGACCATCTCTGGGCATGCTCAAGAAGCCTTGAAGACCCTATTAGAATGTAAGGATTGGTTAAGCATGGCTCCAAGTAGTCTACTTTCTTACTCTAGTGCTCAACTGGGTAGGCTTGGTGTTGTGTTTTTCTTCTCCTTTTGTGATCATGTAACATGAGCAAGTTGACATCATAGTGTGCTTTCAAAGGCTAAAACTACAGTCTAACCTCATTGGCAAATACAGTCCATCACTCCCATTGTGGCAGAGCTGGTTTTTCGCCACATGCCTCAGTTAAACATACCTAGTTTTGGTATGCCTCTAGCTCATGCAATGGTGTGCTCTGCTTAGTTTAGCAAAGAATTTAAGAGGGTTGAATCCTGCTACAAGCTACTTACAGCCTTCACTCAGTACTGTTTCTAAGCCGTATCACCCTGGTCTTTGCACCAGCAATCAAATGGAATTAACATGAAGACCTGGGTTCTCTAGAGAGTCTGATCTTGTGTTTTATGGAGGTTCTGCACAATCCAGTGTCTTTTCCCCAACGAAAAGCAATCTTTCCTTAAACTCCTACACAACAGCCCCAAATCTAGTTGCTCAGTAACTCCAGCTCTCCCTTTAAGTAGTTCCCCAACTAGCCCCAGCTTCTCTCCCTTCTCTGCATCTTCATAAGACACACACACTGAGCAAATCCTCATTTTCTTGCTTCAGTTTTGCTCTTTGCTTCACTAATTGTCTTGCAGCTTCTGGCACTTAACCTCTCCCGACTGATTTAACCGACCACATTCACAGCTTCCTGCCAGGCTTACTTTTATATAGTGACACTCACCTGATGGGATAGATCTATTTCAGCAAGTCTTGGTGCAAAAAATAAAAAAAATAAAATAAAATAAAATAAAAAACACACAAACCATCATCAAAACATTCAGTATGCCATCTTACCAAGTATTTGGGGTAAAGGATAACTCCAGGCAGTTGACTGGTAAGCTAGACACCACACTATGGATGATAAAAAAAAAAAAAAAAAAACAAAAAACCAAAACCATGGTCAAACAGTTATCTTAACATTGCAGGATATACTCATTCTACCCCTGCTAGCCATCAGTTCAGAAGTCCAGAAAGTGATGCAAAAGGAAGACCATCTGACATCAGTAAGGACAAAGCCACAAAATTCTAGCTCTTGAGCACCATTTATCTAACTTATTGCTAAGGGATAGGCTTTCCTTGCTGGGCTCTTTGAATTGGAGAGGTCTGACCCATCAGTCTGTACATACATTTTTTGTCTATATAACCAGAATGGTACTCAGGTCAAAGCAGCTTTCTATGATAGTCTATATTACCCATAGTGTTGACATGTAACGTACAACTTCTTACTTTAAAACAAAAAACAACACAAACCATAAAACCCCTCTACATTTACCTGCAGTATATTCACTCTAGGCTGCTGGAAGCAAGTTACATTTTAAGATGGCGCACAAACCATGCTGGCTCTGGCATCGCTGTGCTCCAAGACTTTAGATCCGAGTCTTCCGAGCCAAGTGGAAAGCTTTTGGTTCAAAGGATCGCTTATTTGCAGAAGGTAAGTGAGGTAGTCCCCTGATAAGCCTTCCTATACTCAGTTATTCAAAAGATCTAAAGGGCCCAGCTTTGTGGCGAGGCAGCATTTGTTATGCTGCACAATGACTTCTGCTGCTAGAAAAGCCAGTTTGTAGTGCACATCCTTCAACCATTTGAGCAATCTCTCATTTTGTCAACAACAGGATGCAAGAAGGGGATGTAATGAACACAGTCTATCTTGCTTGATGACTATTTTCTTTGTTAAGAAAAATATTACTGATTTTTGAACTGCAGACATTCTGCCACAGAGTTGACAGCAACAACCAGAATTTAAAAAAAGTCCCTGAAAGTCCATTCCTGCTTAAAATATATGGAGTAGTGTCTCGAAAAAGGCTTAAAAAGCAAGCTTGTTTTCAAAATCTAAATCCTTCGATTAGTGTGCTGAACTGGTTTGATATATTTGAGACTTCAATGAATGTCTTTTTTGTTGTTCAGTATTTCAGTTAAGAATTTAAGGGGGTGGGGATAAGGAAGAGAAGCAGGGTATTACAATTAAGTGTAAATACTTCTGATGTTTTTAACATCTGGTTTGGTTTAAATAGACTAATGGTAATGGATCTTAAATCCAACATTAAAAAAGGTAAGTCCAAACAGATACTAGAAAGCCTGTTAATAGAGGGTAGCATAGTGCTCCTGTTGTGCTGGTTGTCCGTTTTGTGGAGGATTTTAAAACTAGGCAAAAAAGGCAGCTTAGAGCATTGTGCACATCATAGTTCCCTGCCAGCAGCCCACATTTTATTCCATATCTAGAAATGGATAAATTTGACTGCTTTTGCAAATTCATAACGGAAGAAAGTTAATCTGCTAAAACAAGTAGAAAAAGAAGTGAAAAGAGAATCTGAGTTGCAAATATACTATTTATAAACAGTGTATGTACTAGCACCTCCACTGCTCAATCTTGAGGGTGTAAAAACTCGTGTCAACTACAGATATTCATGAGTGCTGAGATTAGCTGCACACAGCTAGGGGAAAAAAAAAAAAAGTAGTAGTTTCCACTGGCCTCAAATAAGTGGCCAGAACGTTCTGGTTCAACTCTACTAACTTGGATTTAAGTCCCAAGCAGATAGCACTGACACCTGGATGGAGCGCAACTTTAAGTGAACAAAGACCATTTCTGAAACTATTGCTGATGCATGAGTTTTTTCCCCTTCAAACAGAGCTCATTTTCTAGTAAAAAGTAGCAGCTGAGGAAGGCCAGGCACACACATGGCATTACAAACTGATACCTGTGTTCTCTAAAAGCCATGGTTTGGTGTAGGTAGTGCTACTACAGCAGTACAGAGCACCTGGAACCAAATTAAACCAGACACTTCCCATCACTGTAGTAGAGACCAGGACAAATGCGTGGAAGCCAGACCAGTGACAGCACCATGTCCCCCACCCCACACTTCTCACAGGTATCATGCACACTACACCAAAGCATTTTTAAACTGTTACCAGACTTCATCACTGTATTAAGCGTCTCTAGCATGTGAGAATACCGCTAGTTTTAACGCCTCAAGCTTGCTTCCACTGACATCTATAGACAAATGTTTACTTATGCGAGCGGGATTGGTCTCCAGCCAAAGAACCAATGCTTCGGTCTACTTAAGTATGGCCCAGTTACACACCCCATTTCTGTCAAACGAACTGGATTTCACTCTATTCTTTAAAATAATTAACTGTGTTGCCCTAACAACAGGCCCACTAAGACCACAATGGTTCGGCACCGAGCTGGCTTTCTACAGCTCGACTTCATCCTTTTCAGCCTGTGCTGCCTCACCAAGCCCTGGCCGCAGTGGGCCTTACTCCCACCTTTTGCCCTGCCCTGCCCTGCTCCCTTCCCAACAGGGCCGCGAGCTCCGCTCTGAAGGTTTCCGGGGCAATATTTATTGACGAGCCTCCCCACTCGCTCCCCAGGCTCAGGTTTCCTCCCCCTCCAGCCTCCTTCAACAGAACTTACTGGCTTCTATGTTTTGCCCGGACACCCGGGGCCGCAGGGCCCGTCTCGGCTGCGCGAGGCCCTGCACAGGAGGCCGCCGGGCCCGGGGCAGCGTCCTCGCAGGTGGCAGCGAGCTGGGCAG